CAGTCTCCTAACCTGTGGTTTCTGACTCAATTGAGTACAAAACTAACAAACTTGTGATCTGAACAGTAAATTTTGCCAATTATGTTAAATTGGCACCTTGTGGGAGAAAAAGAAGACAATATTTTTGTTAACAACCCAAATAAAAAGAAAAAATACAACTTTAGTAATGAACTTAATCAATTTACTATTGTTTTGGTTTGCCAAGTCAGCTAAATTTTTTACCATGCATGTACCTCTGAAGCATCATCAATGAAAAATGGTACAATCTCAGTTTTGTTACTTAATGCGTTTAGTTGACTTGGCCTCAAAAAGTCAAAATAAATGTTGAAGTTTAGTTGAGCAATGCTGGAACTGAAGGGCTCAAGCTAACATTTCAGAGAAGTTGGAGAACTAATGTACATCTTTTGCCTAAAAGTTGGAGAACTAAATTACATTATTGACTTTTGATTATTAAACCACTAAATTTGTTAGTCAAGTGAGATTGCTTGCTAAAACATCAAGCAGACACAAATCAGAATCACCACCATTTCACCTGCTAGGTGCCATACAAAAATCTTTAACTGAAGAAAAGTTAAAGATTCAATGTAAGTTATAGGAATTTAATGTACTTAAGCAGGACTAACAATTAACACAGAAACCATGATTATTGTTCAACAGTGGCATTATAAAGCTATGCTTCAAATCTAAAGTTACCTGTAGTTCCAGATGAGAAGAGGACATCAATGCAAGTAATAGAAATTTAATGCTCTAAAGGAGGAGTAACAATTAACACACAAACCATGATTTTTGTTCAACAGTGGCATCATAAAGCCATGCTTCAAACCTGAAGTTACTTGTAATTCCAGATGAGAAGAGGATGTCAATGTAAGTAACAGCAATTTAATGCACTTAAGTAGGTCTAACAATTAACACACAAACTATGATTCTTGTTCAACAGTGGCATCACAAAGCTACACTTCAAATCTAAAGTTACCTGTAGTTCCAGATGAGAAGAGGATGTTTGTAAATGATTCTATTGGTTTTTCTATAGCAGCAAATTCCTCTCCTCTGCAGATATGAAAGGAAAATGGACATGTAAAGCACCAGCATCACAGCCTCAACGAGACTTTTATTCAAATGTAAGAAATTGTTACAAAGAAATTTCAGATAAATAAATTCTCTGTGGAAGATGAAAGATATTACATAGACAATCAATTATGTCTTTCAAATGGGATATAAAATTTCAAGCTTGACAAAGAAAAGGAAGAAACAAGAGATGCACATAGGAATAGGGTGAAGGTACAGAAGACCATAGCTAAGGATTAACATTTAACAAGCTAGCATATATGAGAGAAACCATAGAGCACCTACTTGATATTTCTGACGCTTTCCAGGAAGTCATGCCAAGAAATATCTTTTTCACGCAATTTTGTGCTGAAGCTAGAGCCTTTGCTTGGTATAACAACAGCCAAAGGTGCTTCTGCTTCCACTACTCTACTGCAGAACAGAAGCAACACTGTGAGCCAACAGTCCCCAGGACTATGAATAGAACAACACTAAACATCTTGCCATAACATTCTAAGAACTTAACCTGTACAAGGGTATACTTTTTTCACCACGAATAATAAGATCCTGAGAAACAAAAGGATGAAACAATTAAGTATACGAGGAAAGCAAGAATATTTTATGGCAATTAAGTAAATAACAAACAGATTAAAGTTTAGAGATAAACAGCCCAAGTAACATTGTATAATTTTATTACACAAGTAATAGTGCATGAACCTACTGATTCAAGAGAAGGAATGAAAGGTTTTGAAGGAAGAACAGCAGAAAATACCAACAAATAGAGTATCGCTATGAATTTTTAAGACCGGTTTGTGCTCTTTCATTCTCATTAAGGCTATGGTAAGCATGATGCAGCCAAACACATACAGTGGAAATCAAAGAGTGTGTCTTTTTCTCTATTTTGATTTTCATGGAAAAACAGCTCCATAACCCTGTTGCCATGATCCATTTGCGACAGTTGACCAGCGTTCCCACTATATTTATATAACAAAAACCCCTTAAAATGAGGAAAATACTGAATTACGTTAAAACTTTAAAGATATTAAATTTGTAAAGAAACGATTGGTACTTTTTCCAGTAATTCTTTCATCATATAAATATATTATGGGCATGATCTACATGGAGCCCATTCAAAATAAATAATTCTAAGAAGCATGATAGAGGCATAAATTGCTGCTAAAACAAGAAGTTAAGAGACTTGCATGGGAGAAATAAGTATGAAAAACGACGTTTTGAAGTCCACTAGAAAAGAAAAGGAAGTTAACCTGAGTAAATATAGCCTTTGCTTCTGATATTTTAAGCCTTGTTGATATTTCGGCTGAAGCAAAGCTGTCAGCAATGGACACAACTGCATGGCCTGCTAGAACAACTGCTAAGTAGATAACCACAGAGTAAACATTCATTGGCATATCAATTGCAATGGAAGATCCTCTCTCCAAACTAAGGGTGTCAAGTGCATGTGAGACTAACCTACAAAGTCAAGTGACAAGAAACTTTTAGAGTTAGTAATAGAGTAACTTCAAGCTATACCATCAAAAAGCCCCAAGGTGTTTTCTTTTTATCAAAAAGCACCATTTGATCAAATTCTTAGAACTCCCATTAAAATATGAAATTAAGTGCATTTGATAAAGGAACACCAATTTAACGAACCCCAGAAATATCAGGGAGGGAAGTCATTTGTAGTCAAGGATAACATCATCACATGCTACAATTGATAATCTATAAAGCCACAAACTTTAAGTGCATCTAATGACAAAAAACCACTTATGTAAGATAAATTGCAGCATACCAAACCTCCTCTCTCAGCTCCTTAAGTGTCATGGTTTTCACGTGCGGATTATCATCTCCCTCATCACACCACCTTATTACTATATCATTCAAACTTCTCTTACAGTTCACATTCAAGCTATTCTTTGCCGGATTCACATATGCTCCAGGAAGCCATTGACCACCCGGCATGTTACTTTCTACAGATGAATTCTCACGTAACATACATTCAGGGGGCACCAAAAAGGTTACATTCATCTCACCCAGTATGGTTTTCCAATAAACCTGGCATATAAAGAGAAAGGAGCAATCTTTATGCAATAATCCAAAACATAATTGACACAAAATTTGTCTTAAAAGAATGCACTCAAACCCACAACAGTTGTACCTCGGGCTGTGAAACAGAAAATTCCTGAAGATCAGAGAAACTTGATATGGGGTCCTTGTATTTTGACCCCAAGAATTCTCTTCCTTTATTTTCCAATAGCTGGCCAACATTTGTTTGCAATGCAGCGTCCCTGTCCATAATAAAGGAAACAAATTTAACAACAAAACATCAAATTGAACTCCAAATTCATAACCTATTAACCTGTATAGTGAACTAGAATTAAAGATAGAAGCACTACATTCATTCACTAGCAATATCAACAAATTTCACGTTTGCTTTTCACTTATACAGTTAGTATTCTCAATAAAACTATATACTAATTGAAAAGAAAAATATTTGGATTCTTAATTCGTTTCTATTTATGCTTTTTACACCTGGCAAATTTCAGTTACAGCCTAACGGCTCGAATCACGAATTGCTTATTACAGTTGTTGGTCGCATTTTTGCAAGCACAATTATTGAGAAACAACATTTTATATAAGTTTTTCTTACGATATTATATTTATTATATTTTATTAATAGAAACATTTATTATTTTATGCATTTATCAATAAAAATTATATATAAAAGATTTATCTAACTTATATCTCAAAATATAAGTTAAAAATATAATTAATATATTTTTTTATATTAATTAATATAAAAAATAACAAAAATTAATATTAACTTTATCATTAATACTATATATATTGTTTTAATTAGATAAGTGAAATAAATATTAAATTTTGTTTTTAATGACAATTAATATTAAAAAAATATTTTTAGGACATAAATTAAAAATATCCTATAATAATTATAAAAAGAGTTGCCTTTCGTACCATTACCCTTCCTGCAAAATCTTTTTTATACATTTTTATTTTATTTTCAACTAACAAAAAAACGTTTTCTAAATTCCATTGAAAGTAATAGAAATTCTAAATTCTAATTAAACGCTTTCTGAAACAAGACAAAATGTCAGAGAAATGTGAATCGATAAGGCCAAGGGCAGGGAATGCGGGTGACTTACGGGTCGGGCATCCAAGCAGGAGGATCGGGCCCGAAATCTCTATAGCAACCGTAGTACATCATCTGATGAAAGGAGAAGGGGAGATCAGGACGAAGGACTTCTTTGGAGATCCGCTTCCAAGTGTCGGGGGAGGCAGGTCCGCAATCACGCAGGATCTCCGCCACCTTCAGGTAAATTGCATCGGCGACCTCGGAGGGTATCCCTAGAGCTTCGATGTCGGCTTTGGCGATGCAATCGAGGGTTGTATGCGACATTTTGCTCGACGTCGGGTGTTCAGCGAGAGACGGAGAGGGAAGTGAGAGGTGAAATCAGGATGAGATTGGATTAGGCTGGTTGGTTGGCTGGGGTCCCCATTACCGAGTAAGGAAGACGATATTCCGCGCCATTTTCCTCCAGACAGTACACCAAACTTTTTGTCTGGACTCTCGTGTTGCCATGCCCATAATCAATGATTAGTTTGTTTAGTAATTTTCCCTTTTTTCCATTTTTTCTTTTGGGAAAAGTGTTTTATCTACGGTAAAATATTAACCATATGAGAAGGTCTCATTTCATTAAGGTTGTGGAAATTTGCATTTGAATTTGATGGATGTAATTAAAATATATATATACACGTAAAATATATATAATTTAAATATATATTTTAAAATATATATTTAAATTAAATAAAAAAATAAATTTTAAATATATATTTAAATATATTATTTAGATATATTAAAATATTATGTATTTAAAAATGAATTTTTCTTATTAAATTAAATCAAATCTGAGGATGGCGCAAGTTAAAGAAAAGGGCGTATCACATGAAGGAGAAAAGGCCGGTAACAAGGGCCGGATACTTGTTAATGAACCCAACTAGAGCGATTTTTTCCTTGCAATGATGTGGAGTTAGTGAGTCAGAAAGGAGAAGGGGAGTGAGTTGATCCAGTCGGAACAAAGGAAACGGACCTCACCCGACGGAATCACTCCCCTCGGCGAGAGAGGAGGCAGCGGCGAGGCTTGGACAAAGAATCTCGCGTTTTTCGATTGATAGACTGGTTACCACCGGTGAACTATCGAGAAGCAGAGCCGGCCTTAGCTGCCTACCCTAAATGACATTGCTTCCCTCTCCATCAGCTTCGATTGACCTCATAGATATGGATGAAACATTTTCGGTATCTCACAGGGGTTTGCGGAGAGGAGGCAGGACGAAGATGGCGGTAGAGCGTGATAGCACCCGCGACTCCATTGGTATTTGTGACGGAGGAGGTGTGCGATGGAGGATGATGGACGGACGATGGAGGCTTCATTGCCGTCAGTAAGAGGAAATTCATTTTGAAATTCAAATTTATGGGTTTTAGGATGAAATTGAAATACACGACTTTTACCCTTGTAAATTATCCGAGTGAAATGGATGTATTTTATTTAAATTTAATTATTTTTTTATTTAGGTAAAAATAAATAATAATATTAAATTTAAAAAGTTAAAATTCCAACACACTGCATCAAATCCATATTCCTAAACAGATCATAAACGATTTTTTTTTTTTTTTTGTCTATGATAGATTCCAAAACCATGGTTACTAGTTCATAT